GAGGTCATCATGTGTACTTTCCAGCAGTCTGTCTACTACCTCACCAAGGTGGGCCTTGCTCCTGCTCCCCTTTCGAAACACTCTCACTTTCTCTTTAACTGACATTGTGTTGCTCTGATATCACTTCCTTCGTGACCGAGGAGTTCTGTCCTTGGAGTCACTTCCCGTCCCTCCCTAGTTCTTTGCTCTTGTCACGCTACTTCCTGTAGCTGACGTCACTTCCCTTTTGGTTCATTTCCTGTCTTTGCTATCCTCAAGTCTTGTCCAGGTGAGTAGTTCATTTCCTCTATCAATCACTATTTTTTCCAAGCTTACACTTTTGAAGTTTACTGTTAAGTTGTGTATTTATATGTATTTGCTGATGTCCCTTCCTGCATCTCTGGCTTCATTCCCTTTTCTGAGCCTAGGGTTTTGTTTTTGTTTTTTTCACTGAAGGATTATGGTGGGGCTTGATTTCCCCTCTACCACCTTTGACCTTAATATTGCTGATTGGACTAATCAGGGCTTCGGCTGCGGTATGCCTGATTCCCTATAAGTAAAATAAGAGGGAATCTCCCAAAATACACGCTCTATAGCCTCCTGGAGTGGCCTTGATGGCGAAGCCCGTACCTCGGAGGCTGTACTTCCGGTATGTTTTGGCAAGCATACTCTCAGGTCTTCTTTGTCACTGACCTCATTTCCTGTCCTTGGTGTGATCACACTTTCCATTGGCTGGCTGCCACCCAGCTCCTACTTCTGGACTCTCCATTCTTTTAATCTCTTTTGGAAATTCTGGTCAAATACTTCTTTGATTGAAGAAGGCACTTTTTTGTCCAGTGTCCTGTCCTGTCTGAACTATTTCTGTGAGAACTACAAACCCCATAATGCATGAGAGATGCTCTTAAAATATCTAAGCTACTTCCTGAAAGCATTTCTCAGGACAAGTTGTTCCAGGAGACCTACTACCTGCTAGAAACACATCTACAAAGTAGGGATTTGATCATGGAGCCCCATGGGAATGGTGAAGGGAGAATGGACTACAACTCCCAGAAGCCCTTTTTTGAATTTCCCATTGTCTTCGTTGGCTGTCACCCTGAAGTTTTTTGCCTCTGTGTCTCCCCAGACTCTTTATTCAACACTTCCAGCTCTCCTGGACAGTAACCCTTTCACCGCTGGGGCAGAGCTGCCAGGGCCTGGTGCAGAGCTGGAGGCTATGCCGCCTGGACTCAGGCCTACACTGGGTGTGTTCCAGGCAGCTCTAGAACTGACCAGCCAGTGTGAGCTGCACCCCGACCTCGTGTCCCAGACTTTTGGCTACTTGTTCTTCTTCTCCAATGCATCCCTTCTCAACTCACTGATGGAACGAGGTGAGGGTTGGGGTGGGAGCAGCCAGGAACCACCCAGGCCCAATCCAGGCCAACATTGGATAGCTTTGGGTAGCTTCAGCTTTGGGCAGCTTGGTTTCTAGTCAGACCTTGTCTGTGAAGTAGGTCCATTCATTGCCTCTCATTCCTTCCTACACAGGTCAAGGCCGACCTTTCTATCAGTGGTCTCGAGCTGTCCAAATTAGAACCAACTTGGATCTCGTTTTGGATTGGCTGCAGGGGGCTGGGCTGGGTGACATTGCCACCGAATTCTTCCGGAAACTCTCCATTGCTGTGAACCTGCTGTGTGTGCCCCGCACCTCCCTGCTCAAGGTGACTCCCGATGGCTCTAACTTTAACCTTCGATTCTTCAGCCCAGCTCAGTCATCCTCTGTATTCAGCCTCTCTGGGACCCCAGGTCATCTCTAACCCTAGATTAGATGCCATGATGGACCACTGGCGGCTACAGAAGTCAGTATCAAGAATGACTGAACAAAACTGTCCGAATGCTAGTGGGACTTGCTAGAAATAGTTCCCTATGTCCTTCTCTTAGACATGTTGAGTCAAAGTCTGGTTTGAGGCTGAGGAAAATGATGGTTAAGCATTGAGTATGAACTGCATGCTAGGAACTGTGGTTAACAATAGCAACAGACATCCCATTCAAAGTAAGAGTATCGACTGGCAGTTTTTCAGAGAAAACTGAACCAGGTAGATCACATAATCTTATGTTTTGTTTTTAAGATCTTATTATGTAGCTCTAGTTGACCTGGAATTCACTCTGTAGACCAGGCTGGCCTTGAGCTCACAGAGATCCACCTGCCTCTGCCTCCTGAGTGCTGGGATTAAAGGTGTTCATTACAACACTGGACCTTCACTTTTTTTTTTAAAGATTTATATTTATTTGTATGAGTGTTTGCCTACATGGATATATGTGCACCATATTCATGAATGCCAGAAGAGGGAGACAGATCCACTGGAACTGGAGTTACAGACCATGTGCATGCTGGGCACTGAACCCACGTCCTCTGTAAGAGCAGCAAGTGTTCTTAACTGCTGAGTCTTCATTCCAGCCCCTTAATTTCACTTATTTATGTCTTATTGCAGTACTGGGGATTGAACCCAGGGCCTTGCACATGCTGGGCAAATACTCTACCATTGACCTACATCTCCAGGCCTCTTTTTACTTTTTAAATTAGAGATAGAGTTTCACTCTGTTGCCCAAACTGGCCTTGGACTTTGAATCTTCTTGCCTCAGGCTCCTAAGAAGCTGGGAGGCAGAGCCAGGCAGATCTCTATGAGTTTGAGGCCAGCCTGGTCTACAGAGCCAGACCCAGGGCAGGCACCAAAACAACACAGAGAAACCGTGTCTCTAAAAACAAAACAAAACAAAACAAAAAAAGAAGCAGCAGCAGAGGAAGCTGGGATGTCAGGCCTTCTGCACCTGGCCCAGCTGTGACCATAGACTTCTAACTTGGTCTTCCCCCAGGCTTCATGGAGCAGCCTACGGACTGACTACCCCACCCTGACTCCTGCTCAGCTCCACCACCTCCTCAGCCACTACCAGCTGGGGCCTGGCCGTGGACCACCTCCATCCTGGGACCCACCACCTGCAGAAAGAGATGCTGTGGACACAGGTATGCAAAAATAGGCTAACAAGCATTGAGGTGTCTTCTTTCCATGTCCCCAGCTTCTTTCTTACCCAGGATTCTGGATGAGAATCTGGGCCCTTTCTTTTCCCAGAAGCTAAAATTGCTGGATCCAGATGCAGCAAGACATAAAGACTAGGGGCTGAGATTGTAACACAGTAGTAGGCTTAACTTACTCTGGGATCCCTTCCCAGTACGCTAAGAAGAGTTCACGTGTTCAATTATTTTTTACTTAGACTTAAGTCCCTAGCCTCTTCCCTCCACAGACCTAACCCTAACCCAACTTTCGTAGGAATTGGGCTCCTCTGTCCTCAGAAATCGTCCAAGATTTCCCAGCCCATCCTCAAGGTTCCAGGGACCCAACTACATAGCTTAGTAATGGTCCTTTTTTTCCTAGTCTTAACTACAACTCGCATCATGCTTTGGGACCCAGAGAACCACATTAGATGCTGGGACTTGCAGTTTTTCCTTCCTTCAGGCGCTAGGCCACCTCACACCCACGCTGAGTCTCTAACTCGGTCTTCCTCACCCTCACAGGAGATATCTTTGAAAGTTTTTCCTCCCACCCTCCTCTCATCCTGCCCCTGGGCAGCTCGCGCCTGCGCCTCACTGGCCTGGTGACAGATGACGCACTGCACCGGGAACTACGCAGGCTCCGTCGCCTCCTTTGGGATCTTGAGCAGCAGGAGCTGCCAGCCAATCACCGCCACGGACCCCCGGTGGCTGCGACGCCTTGAAAACCAACGACAAAAGAACGCGCGAAGCTTGAAACTGCATCTGTTCTTATGCGAGCCCGCCCGGGCGCAGAGCATTCTGGGAGTTGTAGTTTTCCCGCGTAGACCGCTGGGAGGTTGAATTGTCTGGTAGACGATGGGACTGTGGGAAGATGGGCTTGGGGTGTGAATGCCAAGAAGTAATAAAAGTATCTGTGGTATTGACCTTGCTTGTCAAGACTTGGGAGCCTTAGAGAAGATGGTTTTTAAGGTAGCAGGGCCTCTGCTTGAAAAATTGGGTGTCTGCCGAGTTTGGGGAGATATTTCTAGCAATGGCCTCAGCTTGCCCTCTAGCACGAAATGTGACCCTGGAGCACTGAACTCTGGCCACACAACTCGGAACACAGCCCAGACCGTGCTCTGCTGAGTATCAGACCCTGTGTATTGCCAGCAAGAACGGGCCAGCTCCCTCCTACCCACAAAATCCAAACTAGCCTTCTCCCCCGGTTCTTCCGCTGCTGTCTACCTACCGTGACACTGCTGAATCCCCACATCCAGCACCTTTTACCCTCAGAGACCCTTGGGTCCTAGTCCTCTTCCATCAGATGCAAGAATGCAGACCTCAGCTCTCCTCCTTACTCAGCGGCCCAAGCCCCAGCCCTCGTCTCCCAGACCAAGAGTCATGACTCCTGCCCCTTCCTTTCTTAGAACCAGGGATCTGGGCCTCATGTCTGAACTTTCCCCTCCTCGGAATTTGACTCCTACTGCTGCGTCAGGAAAAAAGAACAGGTGGCACCTGCCGGCAGGGTCTGAACACGACCACCTGCCGCTGTAGCTCACCCTGGTCCCAGTCCCTGCACCTGCTCCCTTCTGTCGCCTGTGGCCGCCCCACCCAACCCAACAGCCCGGGACGCAGGGAGGAGACCGTAGGGGGACCCTCGAAGTGAGCCCGCCCCATCCTCCCCGCGTGTGTGCCCCGCCCCTTCTCTGGGTCCTGTCAGGGTTTCTGATCCAGGGCCCGCTACCAGGGCTCCCGCTCGTCCCAGAAAGGGGAGTCGAGGGCGGCCCTAGGCTGGTGGGGCGGAGCCTGAGGTCTCCAGCCCAGTCCTCCAGACTCCACCCGCTTCAAGGCACAGCTGAGTAGCTGAGCGGAGCCCACCTGGTGAGAAGCCCCTGGGGTGGAGACAGGGACCCTCCTTATTACCCTTCATTCGCCGTTTTGGTTTCCCCTCCTGGTCCAAATACCTTTCCCACAGAGCCTGGTGCATGACATTCAACCCATTCTGTTTCAGGTGTCTGTTGCAGGAACCCCTGCGTTTCCCAGACACCCGTCAGCCTCCCTGATTCCCTGCTGACCCAGAATCTTGGATTCTAGTCCCTAAGAGCGTGGAGTTCTAGTCCTTAACTTCCTTTTCCTTCAGGATTCAGAGTCCAGACGACTGCTTCCTGCATTTTCAAAGACCCAGAGGTCCAGATTCCAATGCTCTCCTTAGGATGCAGGAGTCCACGACTCAGGTCCTTCCTACACCACCAAGGTCCAGGAGTTAAAACTCCAGCCCTCTAGCTTCAGACTCAGAACTCCAGGCCCCAACCCTTCTTCAAATCCAGCAGTCCGTGAGCAAGAACTACTTTCTGAAGCTCAGAACTCTAGGCCTCAGCCCTCTACTTCAGTCCTAAGTGTCCAAGCCCTACCCCTGGTATCTCACACTGTGGGTCCTGGTCCCAGCCCTCCTTTCTCAGACCCAGGGGTTTAGGGCCCAGCTGCCCTCCCTTAGACCTGGATATGTAAGACCCCCCCCCCCAGAAGATCTGGCCCAGTACTTCTGTCTCTCTCTAATCAGTTACGGCCTCTCCCGAACTTCCCCCAAATGACCACCGCCTGTCATCCACTTTGACCCTGCTCTCCGGCGGCCCTGCCTTCCTCTCTGTCCAGGTCTCCACCCCAGCCTTGGCAATGACCCTGGCAGCCTCCTCTCAGCGCTCCCAAATCATCCGTTCCAAGTTCCGCTCTGGTGAGAGGTTGCTTGTCTAAGAGCATATGGGGGGGGATCCTGGATCCAGGGCCCAGGGTCCCAGTGACACTCCTCCTGGGTGGGTGGAGGGACCCATGAAGCTCACGCACAAGGTCATTCATGTTGTGGAGTAAAGTGGTGGATGAGTGTGCGCATGGCTTGCTAAGCTGTAAGTGGGGACACCCAAGAGTGCATATGTTGCAGAGGACCTAAACTGATCTCTAGGCAAAGCAGAAGAGCAGAGTGGGACCTGAGTGGCATGGGTATATGGCTGGGGACCAAGAGCTATCAAGCCTTGAAAGTGTTATTAGTCGAGATCTGTTGCCAATTCAAAGAGTTCTGAACATTCAAGAGAGGAGCAGAAATGTGCACTGGAAAATCTTTGCTCCCAAACAGAGGGTCAAGTCTTGAGTATGTGAGTAGCATTCATGTGGATGCATGCCAGCGAAGAGTAAGCCAGGGTGGAAAATCACGTAAAGGCTAGCTTGGAAAGCACAAAAGCAGCATATGTGCAAACCAGAGTCCAGAGGGGTTGGAGCCTCAGGGGTAGGTTTGCAGGGTGCTGGCTGCGGGGAACGCCAGGGGTAACACAGAGAGGGTGCAGGGATAAAAGGAAGCGAGGTGTTGATGGCAAGATGGCGACTGTGCCAGGGTGGGCACAGACTCCTGAAGTGGCAGGTGGAGCCAGGAGCATGGCTGCCTCCTGGTTGCAGGCTGGCTGGCTTTCAGCCTCAGGAGTGGCTCTGGCCCAAGATGCTTTGCTGGCAGGAGCAGGCAAGAGGCCCTGGGAAGGGAGAGGGAATAGGCTGCCCGCCCACCCGCCCCGGGTGTGTGAAGGGGCTGGGCACGTGTGTGTCCCGCCAACAACCGTAGCTCCCACCCATCAACCAGGCTTCGGACACTCCCTCCCCCCTTCCTTGTCCCACCTCCCTTTTCCTTCCACACAGTCCTGCAGCTTCGGATCCACAGACGGAATCAAGACTGCAGTAAGTGTGGGCCCCCAAAGGGAAGGGATGGTGGCCTCAGTCCCCAAGGACCATGCCTGCCTCAAAACAGTGAAATCCCAGCTGTCACTTCCAGAGGACTCAGGAGTCAGTGGGGCCACCCCACCCATCGAGCTCTCCCCAGTTTTCTCACCCCAGACACCCCAATCTTTCCTTAGTGGCGTCAGGTATCACAGCCTCTCCCACACTCAGTTATCCGAATATAGTTTTTTTGGCCTGTCCATTTCCCTGGAATCAGGGGTACAGGCATCACCTGGTTCTGTCCCAGGAATACACCAGATAGCTGTGATCTGAAGCAAACAGACCCCTTGCTGACTGAGGGCAAAACTCTCTTCCTTTCTCAAAAGGGTGAAAATCTGGGGACTCAGGAGTCCAGGGACCCAGCTGGACAGCTTGGGCTATGCTCGTTGCTCCAGGCTGGCCCTCCTTTCCTGTAGCCCCACTCCATCCTCTCCAGCCTGCTGTCTGCTGGTCTGTTCAGGGTCCTCCACTATCTTTCCAGCTTCAGATCCGTGGATCTCAGCCTCAGGCCCAGCTCTGGCTCCAGCTCTGCCCCCTGTTCCTGCTTCCTTCCTTGTCAGCCCTGGCATCGTGCCCCCTGAGCCAGCCTATTGTCCTTGGAGGTCTCCAAAGAAGGTGAGCTTTGACAGAGGGCAAGTGCTCAGGACAGTCAGGCTAGCCGTGGTCCTAGCCACTGCTGACACTACACCTTTATAGGCCAGGAAGGTGGGGACCAAGCTGAAGCATCGTCCCTGTTTTTTCTCTTTGTTTTTGAGACAAGCTAACTGCATGCCTAGACTGGTCTTGAACTCTCCATCCTGCCCCGGCCTCCCTGGTGCTGGGGTGACTGTTGTGGTGGGCCACCAAACCACCAAGCTTGGCCTTACTTGCTCTTTCAGGAATCTTCCAGGAACTCTCAACACTGGAAGGAGCCCAAGGTCAGGGGGAACTTGACATATCACCTGTACATGCCTCCGGAACGGAGCCAAGGGCCTAGGGCAGATCTCCAACAGGAGGGGTCAACCCTGGGTCCCCCGGGGCCACCTCCGTGGGAAGAGAAAAACTCACAGAGGCCACACCCTCGGTAGGACTCTCATGTTTACTCTCCAGGGACCCAGAAACTCAGGCCCCACCCTCGTCCCCTAAACCCAGAGTGCAAGGGAGAGGAGCCTGCCCCGGAACCCCCTCCCCCAGAACCCTGGCTGTGCATGCTCCCAGCCCTCGGCCGGAGACACCACGGTTGCACATCTCCCACACCCACAAACCCGGGCCTATGTTTGCCCCACAGGAGGTCCAGAATGCCTCATTTTCCCGCGTCCTCCGAAGCTCCTGTTTTTAAGGTCCCTCACTGCCTTTCTCCCCCTGTCCTAACCTTTCCTCACCCCCTCACGCCGGTCGCTAGGATGAAGCCCTCCTCATCAGGAGACTCCAGTCCCTCACCCCCTGCACACAAGCTGGAACTTCAGACCCTTAAACTGGAAGAGCTGACGGTGAGCTGGAGTTGCAGTGTCCCAGGGCTGGCCCCAGACCTGTAAACCCATGGCCGCTGCTCGGGGGCAGTCGGTCTGGATTCTGGCTCCTCCTGGTTCCCTAGTCATCGCTCCCAAAAGCTCGCTCAGCACCTCCTCCCCCGCCCCCGCCCCCCAGGTCTCAGAGCTCCGGCAGCAGCTGCGCCTGCGGGGACTCCCAGTCTCCGGGACCAAGTCGATGCTCCTGGAGCGCATGCGCGGTGGCGCCCCGCCCAGAGAACGGCCGAAACCCCGGCGCGAGGACAAAGAGGCCGCGGCTCCCTGGCCGCGCCTCAAGCCTAAGACGCTGGGACCAGCCCGGCGGTCGGGCACGGTGAGGGCGGGGCTGTGCACGCATGGGCCAATCAAGAGAAGAGAAGGAGGAACAGGGCGAGACCTTGGGAAAGAATAGCCAATGAAATGCTGGCAGGGAGGTGTGGCTTGCGGGTCTTAAGAGAGGCCGCTAAAGCCTGGGGGCGTGGCCAACCATTGACAGCCCGCTGTAGTCAGAACCGGTAGGCGTGGTTTAAGGGAGAGAAGCCAATGAAAGGATAGGAGCGGGGCCTGTAAGTTTATTTAGGGAGAATGAGCGTTTGCTGCCAAGCTTGACTACTTGAGTTCTATCCCTGAGACCCATAAAGTGGGAGCCGTGAACCAACCCTGAAAGTTGTCCTCTGATGTACACATATATGCACACACACACACACACAAAGTGAAAAAAAATGTTAAAAAATAAAAAGCATTGGGGTGAAGCCAAGGAAGGGCTGTGTCAGGGCCAGGGGGCAGAGCCACGCCTGATGTGCCGGCATTATGGAACTCCATCTTTCCTGGTTCTAGGTAAAGGCAAATGCAGCGACTCATAGGCTGAGGTTTTCTGGAGCTGCGGATCCCCTGAGGGCAGCTCTGGCTCCCGCTCCCGCTCTGGGTTCCGCTCCAGCTCCGGCTCCAGTTCCAGCTTCAGCTCTGGCTCCCGCTCCAGCTCCGGCTCCAGTTCCAGCTTCAGCTCTACTTCCAGCTCCAACTCCCTTTCCATCATCTTCTCCAGCCAGCCTGACTCTGGAGGAGGAGCTGCAGGAAGCGATCCATAGGGCGCAGGTGGAAGGGCATGCATGGCTGGGGCGTGCTCGGGGACTGGGCTCTGGACCTAAGCCTGACCCGGGCTCACATGTCGTGTGCTCTTCCACAGCTGCTTCCGAACCAGGACATCGATGACATCCTTGAAGACCAAGTGGAGCCAGATGGTAGGAGCAGAGCTCCCACATTTAGGGGAGGAACTGGACTTGGGAACTCCTGGGTCCGAGGGAGGAGTGGGCTGGGAACAACAGTGAGCAGGACCTGCCCCCTAAAGCTTACACTCCTCCTGCAGACCTGCTGCCTCCCATCCCCTTGGACTTCCCTGGCTCATTGGACGTGCTGTCTCCCTCCCCGGACTCGGAAGGCTTCTCTTCCGTCTTCTCTTCTTCACTCCCATCCCCTTCTAGCTCCCTGTCCCCTTCTCCAAGGGCCCTCACAGATTCCTTGGACTGGCTGGAGGCCTTGAGTGGGGGTCCACCGCTGGGCTCTGGGCCTCCAGGCCCCAGCATCTTCTCAGCGGACTTATCTGACTCCAGTGGCACTCGGCTTTGGGAACTGCTGCCAGATCCATGGTGAAGGACCCTGGGGTTTTCAAGGAGCAGTCACCTGCACCCACAAACACCCTCTAACTACAGAGGGCTCAAGATGCCCTCATCCCCTCCGGACCCACTGCTGCTGACACACAAATGCTGGACCTGCCTACTTGGTCTCTGTGTGACCCCTTCCTCCCGTCCGTGTAGTTGCGGGTGGGGGTTCATTTGCTACTGGCCAGTGCAAACAAGCTTGCTGCCTCCTTCAGAGACCTGCAGGGTGTGTGCACCACTTTCTCCCGACCCTGGATGGCTGCCTGTCATCTGGGAATCGAAGTTTGTGCTGTTTGGGTTCAGGAAAGGACAGGGAGAGTAGAAGGAAGGCAGACCCCTGCTCTAGTTATAGGTGAGGGAATCAGTGAATCACCACCACCTAGTGGGTGGTGACTCTAAACTCCCTATCACCTTGAACCTATGAGTGTTGTGATTATACCTAGCTTTCTTGCTTTTTTTGTTTGTTTGTTTGTTTGTTTGTTTTTCGAGATAGGGTTTCTCTGTGTAGTTCTGGTGCCTGTCCTGGGTCTGGCTCTGTAGCCCAGGCTGGCCTCGAACTATCCTCCTGGCTCTGCCTCCCAAGTGCTGGGATTAAAGGCACCATCACCGCTTGGCTGCTTTCTTGTTTTGTTTTGAGAGCAAGTCTTGGTATGTAGCCGAAGCTGGCCTCTAACTTGTGACAGTCCTCCTGCTTCAACCTTGTGAGTGCTGAGCTTAGAGATGTGAGTCACCACACCCAGCTCTCATGGTTTGTTGAAGGGCTTCCGGGAGCTAGGTGGGGAGATGGATGGCAAAAGAAAGAGGAGCTAGAATGTGACCTCAGGTGAGCCTCCACCCCGTGCTGTGAGGATGGCTGCCTGGTGAATTAAACTGTGGGTTTCCTGTACTTATGGCTCATGAGACTGGGCCTTTGCATCTGTGTTTGGGCTTATTAACAAACCCACAAAACAGAATTGCATTAGATACTTTTGCATAGCTGTAACCAACATACTCAGGGGAACAAGCTAAGGGAGGAGGAACTTAATTTGAATCTTAGAAGGTTCAGTTGTGGTTGTTCAGCCCCACTTGCTTGGGTAGGACACCATGATGGCCAGATGTATGGAAGAGATTCTTCACTTCACAGTGGACAGGAAGCAGGGAGAGAGAGAAACAGGAAGGAGCTAGGATGAGATACCCCTGAGACCTACCGTTTCCAGGCCTCTCCAAATAGCATCACCATGTACGTGTGAGCCAGTGCGGGACAATGCATATTCGAAGCATAACAATAATTGGCTATGGTTTACTGGGTTCTGCAGGGGAGTTATTCAGCTCCACAAGGTGTTGGAGAAGGATGTAGTCATCCCTAAGCCCAGATGGGGGAGGATATCCAGCGTGGCTCACTCAGCTATGTTAGGTACCATGGAGGAGATGGGGAGAAGGCTGAGCCCAGCTGGGTCATTGGATGTCTGGACCCTTGTTCTCCACGAAGCCTCAGCTCTCTTCTCCACGTGTTCTCTCTACTAGAAACCTGGACTTTTTATATGGTAGCCCAGGGCTTCCAAGAATGAATGTTCTGCTTGGAGTGGTAGCACACGTCTTTAATCCTAGCACTCAGGGCAATAGACGTGAAGAGCTGAGGCAGGAGGATCAGAAGTCCAAGATCAACTTCAATTATAGAGAGTTAGAGAGTTCAAGACCAGCCTGGGCTACATGAGACCCTGTGTCACAAACAGAGAGAGAGAGAGAGAGAGAGAGAGAGAGAGAGAGAGAGAGAGAGAGAGAGAGCGGGAGCTGAACACTTGAGACCACCAGACAGCAGACATGGATGATTGCCGATGTCTTTGGGCCTGGCAGTAAATTTTGTCTCATTTTGTCTCCTTTTGATCAGAAGGTTATCGGGAAAGATGGAACTAGTGTTAAAGGCACTGGGGGGTAGGATGTCAATCAGATGTATCAGAGTTGAGAAAACCAAGAGCCTGAGTTTTTACTTCAGTAAAGCACAGTAATCATACTCCCAGTGCAGATTGACATTTTGGTGGCTGTGGTATGTGGGATCATGGAATTATGACTGATCAAGGACAGAAACCCTGGCGAGTGGAACAGGGGTCAGAAAAATAGCTGAGCTTCCAAGGGTTAGGGGGCACTGGTAGAGAACTTCCTGGAAGATGGCGTCCTGGAAGAGGGATGTGAAGAAGACATCAAGGTGTGGAGGAAGCTGGCTCCTGGGAAAGCTGGTAAGGTTGAGTGCTCTGAGTAAGACAGCAGAAAGTCTGTGGCCAGCCCAGGCTGGAGACAGACCGAGCTGCCGAGCGGGTCCTGAAGGGCCCGTGATGAGCTGACAGAGGAGTCCCCAGCCCTAGAGGGTCAAGAGGATGTAGTGGGCTTCTTCTTCAGGCTTTAGACACCTCCCTTCTTTTTTTTTTTGACACTTCCCTTCTTGTTTCTTGTATTTTTACATTTTTATATGTGTGTGTACACACACCACATACACGCTCAGGTCCTCGGAAGCCTGAGGAACCCATCACTCCCCTGACGCTGGAGTGGCGAGCTGCCTGACATGGGTGCCAGGAACTGTAACAGCACCTGCAAGAGCGGCAAGCCGTCTCTCCAGAGCCCTAGTCCTCCATTTTGGAGACAGCATCTGATTGTCCTCATTCCCACGCCCTTCTCTCCCTGAGGCCACTCAGGTCCTTTCCTGGCCCATGTCCTCTGCCTCCATTTAGTCTCCTTGCCGTCTCTGGTTCATCCTCTGGTGAAGGAAGCATCCTTCTCCCCATCCTTGCCCAGTCACAGCTGCCTGCCGTCACTCAGCTGTGTAACCCATCCCTCATCCCTGGAGCCTTGAGCTCCGGACACCAGTTTCCAACCGAGGCTCCCTCCCACCTCCTGCCCACTGTTACCATAGCCCTCAGCCAGTCAGCCTGGGTGGAGAGCACTGCAGAGCCCTTCACAGCCCCGGGAGAGGTAGGGTTGGGGTGGAGATTTGGAAGGCTAGGGCAGGTTTGGTGTGGGTGCTGGCTTGAGCACAGAGCAGGCAAAGCTGAGACCAGCGCTCCTCACCACTGTTACCCTGACTTCACATACTTCAGTCCCTCCCCTGGCCTCAGTGTCCCTGGGAGCCCCAAACCTGTTCTTTCACCCACCTGCCACCCTGGTCTTCAGAGAGGGGAGAACATCTTTTTTCCTTCCAGTTCCTTCTTCCTCCTTCTCCTCTCCTTCACCTTCCTTCCACAAGACAAGATCTCCCCGTGTAGCCCAGGCTGTGTTCAAACTGGACATCATCAGGCTTCAGCTTCTAGAGTGCTCAAAATAGGTGGACTACACATAACCCCTTATCTTAAACGTGATTTGGTTATATAGCTGTATGACTGTCAAAGATCAGTGGACACAGAGCTGGCCTATCTTGATGGCATTTGGAGATAGAATTCACATTCCAAATGATCCACCCATTGATAGGTAACGTTTATTGCTTTCCCTATTCTCAGTTCATCTCCCACGATGATCAGTTTTCATTCATTTTCTGTCCTATTGTTTTGTTTTGTCTTTTGATTTTGAGGCAGGGTCTCTACATAGCCTGGCTGGCCTGGACTCACAGAGATCCACATGCCTGCTTCTCTGCCTCCTGAGTGCTGGAATTAAAGGTGTGCACCACCCTCATCCCCCCTCTCCAGATGGAGGAATGGCTCAAACCCATTTTATCACTTTCAAGAATGTGAAATTGGGCTGAGAATGATTGGCCATGCCTTTGACCCTATCACTCTGGAGGCAGAGGCAGGCAGATCTCAAGGCTAGCCTGATCCACATTATGAGTTCCAGGACAGCCAGGGCTATGTAGAGACCCTGTCTCGAAAGACCAAAAGAACAAAAACAAAACAAAACAACAACAAAAAAAACCAACCCCCCCAACAACAACAATAACAACAACAAAAAACAAAAACAAAAAAACCCCATGTGATTTCATTTCTTTTAGATTTTGCAATTTTTTTTTCTTTTTTGTTTTTTTTTGAGACAGGGTTTCTCTGTGTAGCCCACTCTGGCCTCAAACTAAGAGATCCACCTGCCTCTGCCTCCTGAGTGTTGGGATTAAAAGTGTATGCCACCCCAGCCCAGCCTGGATTTTGTGATTTTCTTTGTCTCTGAGACTGGCCTGGACTCCCTGTGTAGCTAGCTGATGTAGCTCCTGATCTTCCTGCACTGTCACACCCGAGAAGGTGTCGCCCGTGTGACAAGTGCCGATCTGGTGGTCTCACGAGGAAGGGGGGCATGTGTCTCTCGAGGCTAGCCCCCCCCCCTCCGGCGGTCCCCTGGCAATCAGCCCGAGCAATGGTTCCTGGATACATTGTTCCCTAAAGACCAGCCTTCCGTGGATGGTTGGCAGGACTCCTGCTTCTTTCTTCTTTCCTGACAATAACAACCTCCCTGTGCCTGGACTCCCGCAGACGCTGGCTTGACGTACCTGATAACTCCTCAACTGTTACACCGGCACCGCCCCCAGTGAGTCAAGCCCTTGGGCAGATAGCACAAAAAACCCCTACTTCAGTGGGGGCACTCATGGATGGATTAGAACAGAAAGAGCTAATGATTCAGGTTCCCACAGATTCTAAGGAAGAAAACGTAAAAGTAAAAAGATTGTTAGGTAACCCTCACTCAGCTCATGCAAACTCACAAGAAAGAGAACTTAGGACACTGGCAACTCCCACAAGAATGGTTGGAAAGTACATTCAATACCGTATTAATAAAAAATGGTGGACACCCCCTCCTTAAAATCCCAAAAATAAAAATTACTTAGATCCACCCCCTTTTACAGGGGCTTATGACTATAAAAAAAATCGGTTAGATAAATCATAAAAAAAGTTATAAAATCAATTGCCTTTTATAAAAAGGCTGGTTAAAAACAAAAAAAATAATATACATATGATAGACAAACAAGGTCAACTATATTAAAAAATATAACACCTATACTAAAAAGATGGGCTAAGGCTCTTGACAAAGACTTTATAACTGTCTTTAATAAATTACTAAAAATAGATTACCAATTATTAAATACATAATCTGACTCTTAGGGTTCAGGCCACAACATGTCTCTGTCTAAAAAGATTAATCATTCTAAAAACCACAAAAGATTACGTCTATTACTTTCCTTTTGCCCCTGGGCTTAATTCCTTGTTAAGATTATATAAAATCTCAGCCTAATGTTCAATAAAATTACAACAGTTTTACAACATACTCTGATGTCTATGTCTATCTGTCATCGCCAAATCCCAATTATCCTAAGCACCTTCATCCCGTTCTCCCTCTGTCTGATGGCCCTACTGAGACCCAGTCTGCGACACTGCACTCATTTCCTTAATGCTGGGATCACAGATGTCCATCGCCACACCCAGTTTGAAGATTTTCTTTTTTGAGACTGGGTCTCAGAATGTAGCACAGGCTGGCCTCCAAATGTCAGATCCCCCTGCTTTAGGCTTCCCAGTGCTAGGAGAAGGGGAGGTGCCACCGCTGCCCACTCCAGGCCACCCATGCACTCTGCCAGCACCACCAATGTAGCAGGGGGTCTAGAGAGACACTTTAGGGTTCATGCTGTCCCAGATAATACTTCAAGGGTTTTCCCCCTACATCACCCTGGCTGTTATCATAATGGTGTCTATATAGGTTGCATTCCTCAATTGTGAGAGGGATATCATGGTATGTGCTCACAGCTGAAGTGTAACAAGATGGTATCACATACTGAAATATCTGGAGGACTCCCCTAGGCCTAGGGATGCCACACTGGTCTCCGGGAAGCCAGGGCTGCAGAGGTGGACGTGTGATTGATGTATCTGCACTGAGTTCCACCCACAGAGTTCTCAGACAGACTGAGTAAGACAAAGAGCCCTTGGTAGATGGAGTCCCGAGAAGAAGCAATGTGGTGGGGGCACCGTGGGCTCCCGATGGCCTTCACCTTCTTTATGACCAGCTGACTTTGTGCAGTGAGCCTGCTACTTCAGATCCCAGGCTAAACCAATCCCACATTCTCTTTCTCCTTGACTCATAATGAGCCACGTGGGCATGTAGTGACACCATTCTTGTCAAGGGGACCAGGAGCTAGCTGCTGGGGTGCTTACAGAGGTGTGGTTTTCATTGGACTTGACTATGGTCCTCATGGCGATGGCCGGACCTTTGAGAGGCGGAGCCAAGGGGACTGGAGAGAGGTTCAGAGAGCAATTCCCAGCATCTGCATCCAGTTGCCTATAACTTCAGCTCCAGGGGATCTGACACCCAGTTCTGGCCTCTGAAGATACTACTGCACTCACGTGCACACACCCACACGTATACCCGTAATTAAGATAAAAATAAAATTTTAACAGATCTCAAGAAGTTCTTAGGACATTGAAGGCACCACCTTCAAAGGGGTGAACAGTTCTCAGTAACTTCTAGTCAGTTCTTGAAAGGTGGTTGCTATAAAAAGCACAAGTCCAGTCCCTCTCCTTGCTCACGCTTCCCATACACTGTTGACTGGCCCATCCCGGGAATGCCATCACCATGAGGTACTCACTGGACCTTTATAATAAGCCAGCTGCAGGTATTTCAGTATAGTGACAAAAAGTGACCAGGCGTGTGTTTGTCTCACCCTGCAAAGGACCCAAGTGAGGCAGTGAACCTTCTCTTGATGCCTCCGGAAGTGGCTGTCTTCAGGCGGCAGCCTTTCCGGCACGACAAGAAAGCTGTGCTAAAACATGGTGACGGCACTGTGGTGGTTAGCGGGCACTGGGCACTGAGGATGTGTCTGAGCTAGTCAGTTAATGAATGCTGGTGATGCCTAACCTGTAAACGTGTTTGCTGAACACATCAGTTGTTCTCTTGTTTGCAGCCCTGGGCACACTTCTTCCAGAGAGAAGGCTCTTCCTGTGAGTCTAACCCATAGCTCCTCCTGCCTAGAGATGGAAGGGGAACCAAGGACTGGCTTGTGTTAGTGCTTAAGGAGTGGGGACAGGTCTGCGGGGATGCCCACCCACTCGGGTAGGAAGGCTGCCTCTGGCTTAAAGATTTTGAGGAAGGGAGAATCTGGAAGGGTGTAGTTGGCTAGGTAGATGGTGTCCCCACCTGCCAGGTAGGCAGCCCAAATCCCGAAGGTTCCAATAGTCATGACGGTGTGGTTGCACTGGGTGAGGAGTGCGAAGTCCTTGGCTGGCGAACCCTCGATACCATTGCCAGCGAACACCACATCCCCTCGGGAGGCATTGATGTTCTCCTTACACCAGGCCATACCATTGCTTGTGACCACGAAGACTGGAGATGGATAACGTGCCCGGAACCTGTCCAGGGCCTGTTCCAAGTAACCCCGGTCAGCCACCACGCCCTTCCACACATTGGGCATGACATGCACATAGTCCCCCCGGCGCACATGGACACCCACAAACGTACTCGGCTGGCTCCCATTCACCCGCAGGCCACGCAGGAAAGCCTGGGCCTCCTCACGCACGTGGTCATGCAGGGTGAACTCCTGCAGGATCTCGGGGCGCAGGTGGTGGTAGAAGGTCCAGGAGCACGGGTACCCAGTGAGGCGCACATAGCGTCCTGGGATGTGGCGGTACCGCTCCTCCATCCAGTCGTTGAGGTGGTAGTTCTGCCACGGGATCTTCCTGTCAGTGTCGCTGTGCAGTACCGGGAGGCTGATCCTGAAGATGGGCGCCAGGGTGCTGTGCATGGATGCGGGGATGAATGCGGGCCTTCCGTTCATCCTGGCCAGGGCGAACAGCGTGGCGTACTCGCCCATCTGGTTCCCCAGGCGGCCAATGGAATTGATGGTGAACATGCCCTGCAGCTGGCCACCCCGTGGCATCTCTGTGACTGCTGCGTCTCCTGGGGGCATCTCTGACAGAGGTGGAATCTTCACTGTTCTGTGCTGGAGGTGGATGATGGTGGAAGTCACAAAGACGAAGATGAGGAAGTGGGCCAGAGGAAAGGAGAAAGGAACCTGAGCGTTGGCCATGGCTGCCAGGAAAGAAAGCAGGCAACCGGTTAGCTGGGGAGCGGCTAGGTGTTCACCTGCAGGCTTGTGTGCATAAACACTGGGCACCCTTGCTGCGGGATGGTCTGTATGTCAAGTGTGTTGCTGATTGGTCAATAAATAAATCACTGATTGGCCATTGGCTAGGCAGGAAGTATAGGCGGGACAAGGAGGAGAATAAAGCTGGGAAGTGGAAGACTGAGTCAGAGAGACACTGCCAGCCGCCATGATGAGAAACAGCATGTGAAGATGCCGATAAGCCACGAGCCGTGTGGCAAGGTATAGATTTATAGAAATGGATTAATTTAAGCTGTAAGAACAGTTAGCAAGAAGCCTGCCACGGCCATACAGCTTGTAACCAACATAAATCTCTGTGTTTACTTGGTCGGGTCTGAGCGGCTGTGGGACTGGCGGGTGAGAGATTTGTCCTGACTGTGGGCCAAGCAGGAAAACTCTAGCTACACACCCTTTTGGCTAATCACCTAGATTGTGCCTCAGCATGTGTTTTTTGTTTTCTTTTTGGTTTGTTTGCGACACAATTTCACTCTATAGCTCAGGCTAGCCAAGAACTGTGAGCCCAATCTTCCTGCTTCAGTGTTGGGATTACAGAGTGAGCCAATATGCCCCATTTGATGTCCTCTTTGGAAGGAAAGTGTGCTTCAAATGTTGAAATGAGGCATGTGAAAAAAACAACAAAATCAGGGACATCATGGGGACATGGGACGGGGACTCTGTGGTAGGAGGAAGGAACGGAATACAAGCTGTTCCCTGACCTCCACATACCCACACCTCCCTCACAATCACAAATAAGGAAATGTAATCAAAGAAAATTGAATCAGCCGGGCAGGTGGTGGCGCACGCCTTTAATCCCAGCACTTGGGAGGCAGAGCCAGGCGGATCTCTGTGAGTTCGAGGCCAGCCTGGGCTACCAAGTGAGTCCCAGGAAAGGCGCAAAGCTACACAGAGAAACCCTGTCTGAGGGGAAGGAGGGACGACGACCACGACAACAACAAAACAAAACAAAACAAAAACAGCAAGCCATACCTTCAATCTCAGCACTCCCGAGGCAGGCAACCATTTAATACAGCTCCTCATGTTGTGGTGAGCCCCAAACATAAAATTATTTTTGTTGCTACTTTGAAACTAACTTTGTTACTGTTATGTATCCTAAATGTGTAAATCTCTGTGTTTTTGATGGTCTCAGGCAATTCCTGTGAAAGGGTCATTCAAGTCCCAAACGGGTTGCCACTCCTCAAACAGGTTGAGAACTGCTGGTCTAGAGGATGGTGAACTTTGCCATCTGCGGCCAGGGTGTGACCAACATTGACGCTAATGTCAGTTAGACTAAGTCCAAGTGACCAGTCACTGAAAAAAGACCCAGACCTGCATGACAGGAATTTTGGAGAGCTCAAGGGCTTCAAGGCTCCCCAAGTTCGTCAGGAGTCTTACCCCCTCATTTCAGAGGACACGTAGTCCGGAACACAGAGCATGCTCTGCTATCAGTCTCCAAAGGAGGCTTTGTGCAACTCTAGGTGAGAGACAAAGGTTTCCGGCTGTCTTGGCCCACGGCCTGCAATCCTGATCATAGGCTTAGGCTCAGTGACTGAGTCAAGAGGATACTGGCATTATATCAAGCCGCTTCTATGCCGATCAAAGCCTAGAAGCTGCATTCTGCACAGGTGAGCAGTTACAAAGTCAACTCAGACCTGTTGGCATAGGACTGCAGGCTGAAATACACTTCTGATTTGTAATTCACCAGAAGAAACCCAGGCAAGGTGTGATGGTGCTTGTCTATCATCTCAGTATTCAGGACGCGGAGGAGCAGAATTGCTGTGAGTTCAAAGCTAGCCCAAGCTGTGCAAAATTCTTCAAAATAAACCATTTGGGACTGGGGCGAAGACTCAGTGGGTGATGTGCCTGCTGAGCCAGCATGAACACCAAATCTGAGTCCCTGGCACCTACATACAGCTTGGTGGTACACGTCTCTGTACCCCAACAGCTGGTGCAGAGACAGGAAGATATTAGGGGACTGCTGGCCAGCCTAGACTGACCACTGAACCTACACAGTGAGAGACCCTGTCTCAAAAATAAGGTGGAGGAGCTGGAGAGCCGGGCCAGTGGTTCAGAGTTCCGGCCTCTCTTGCAGAGGACCCAGCACCCACATCAGGCAGCTCACAAACACCCTAACTCCAGTTTCAGGGAATCTGAGACCCTCCGTCCTCCCTGGGCACCTGCACAGGCACACGTTCATAAGTAAAAATAAAAATTAAATAAGGTGATCTGAGCAAGTGGCCTGGTGGGCCCAGTCCCTGCAGCACAAACATAAGGACCCCAGTGCCTCCCCAGCACCGTGGAGAAGGCTGGCAGCCTGATTCTGGGATCCCAGCATTGGGGTCTGGATCAAAATGAGCTCACCAGCCAGCAGTGTGACCGAAATTTTGAGTTCTGTCAAAACTATGGTGGGAAAGTAGTAGAGAAAGACACCTGACATCGAAGACAGTGAGGCTGACCTCTGACCTCCTCCACAGGCACAGGTGCGCATGTACTGGCATGCGTGCATGCATGAACACATACACCACAAACAAAAATTTCATGCCTGTAGACTCAATGCCTGGGTGTGAACTGCACAAACCCAGAGTGTGGGTTTGTTGGGAGGAGCCTCTCCGGTCCTCTGTGACTACCGAAAGGACCTGCTGGGCTGTGTCAACTTCCCAGCTCAGCTACACTCATGAGATTTCATTTATTTCCTCATATTTGCTTTATGAGACTGGGTCTCACTCTGTAACCTAGACTGGCTTTGTAACTCACTATGTTGCCAAGACTGGCCCTAAACTCGTAACAATCCCCCTGTTTCAGACTCCCAAGTGCTAGGAGCCACTTACAAGTGTGAGCCACAGGAAACAAAGGATACCACCCCAACCTCAGGAGGTGTGCATACTGAAAATGCTAATAGCTAATAGAGGCTGAAAGAAAGCAGCCTGGAGCAAGGGTGGCAGTTCTGTAATCCTAGCCCCCCAGGAAGCCGAGGCAAGAGGATCATCCAAGTTGCACACAAGCCAGGGCCACAGTGTGAGACTTTGTCTCAGTAAAACACACACAGGAAGCCAGGCTTGGTGGCACACACCTTTAACCCCAGCACTCAGGAGACAGAGGCAAGAAGATCTCCGTTTGAGTTTGAGGCTAACCTGGTCTACAGAGTGAATTCCAGGACAGCCAGAGCTGTTACACAGAGAAACCCTGTCTCAACACCCCTCCCCAAAACACACACACACACACTCACGAAAAAGACTACCAGAGACAGGTCACACCAGAGAGGACAGAGCAGGGGTGGAGGGACAAGTAGAGATGACTTCATCCTACCCACTCTCTCCTTGCTGGTTTGCTCTTTTTCCTTTTTCCTTCTCCGGTACTGGATTTGGAACTCAGGATGGCCAGAATGCCTAGCAATCCCTCTCCTACTGAGCCACGGCCCCAGCGCCTCCCTGGGGGACTCTAGGCAGGGACTCTACCCGAGTTCCATCCCCAGCCTTGTTTTGCTGTAGTTTTAACTTGCAGTGGGTATTCACTAAGTTGTCCGGGCCGGCCCTGAATTTCTTCTATGGCCCTGGCTAACCGCTGAGCGCTGCGGTTAGAGGTCAGGGACTGAACCAACACTTCCTTTTTGCCAGACCCAGAGGAAACTCCTCTCTCCCAAATTCTGGTGCCCCCTTTTCCCTCTGCCAAAGGAACCATTCCTCATCACCGTCAGAAGGGACAAGTGGCTATCTGTGGTGTCTTTTAGCATACCCAAGCGCATGCTGGTTCTAGGCTCACTCAGTACCTGGGGCTCTTCTCAGCCAGCTTCCCACCCTAAACTTCTCCAGCTCATGAGTTCCCCTTCGCCCAGCTCCTCATTCCCATATAATTCTACCATTTCATCCATAGCTTTCTTGGTCCTCGTGAGCAAGAAGGTAGGTATAACAAACACTATACTTTATTATGCAGAGGCTCATCACACAAAATCCACACTCTAAGTCCCTAACTACAGTCCTAAGCCTATGTCCCCTAGGCTGCTCACCTGTGTGACGTGTTTTAGCCAAAAGTTTGGGTCCAGCCTCTCACGGTTCTAGGGTCAGCCACAGGGCAGATCAAGATGGTGTCGCCAGGCCTCTAGCGGTCCTGAAGATGTGAAAAGCAACACACTCTTGGTTCTCTCCTTACATGCGGTCCAGGGGGCATCATGGGTTGTGTGTCTGGTTATCTGGAGTAAGTGGTGTCCCTGGTGGTAGGTCTGAAACCTGGGACAAATGGCTGACGGAGGTGCCTATTTAACATAGCAAAGCGGATGCTGACCAGCAGGCTCTCAGCAAAGCGTTTTGGTTGGCCAGCCGGCCGGCAGGCAAACCCCGCCCCCTACCCTCAACCTCTCCAGCCCCTGCCTGAGCTTCCTTCTCTCCCCGAAGCCTCTCTGATTCCTGTATAACCAGCCATTTGGGCTGTGTGCTCTCTTGGCTCCTCTCCTGGACCTCTCCTCATCCGTTTGCCCTTTCTCCCCCGTTTTCTTCTCATGGTCCAGTCTAGTCCGCTAGCCTGGTTCAGTCAGAACACTTCCAGGTGCCTCTGACTGTTCTCTCTCTCATGTGTACAATAAAAACCTTCCCCTCAACCATACCTTGGAGCAGTCATGTCCTCAATTTATACTCTTAAGACAGAGTCTCTCTAAGCTGCCCAGGATGAATTTCTCCTGTTACCTAGCCTGGCCTTGAACTTCTGCCTCTGTAGCATCTGGGATGTCAGGCCTCCCCAACTAAACTCATCTTGGCACCAATTGTATGGGAGAAAAATAATGGAAAAACACACTTCCAAATCAAGCCATTATCTCCAGCTTTTGAGCCGAGGGCTGTTTCTCCTGCTGCAAACAGGAATAGAATAAGGCTTGTCTGGCTTGTGAGAGAAAGGAAAGTAGGATGATTTGGAATAATGTGTTTTCGGGCTGCGTCTGTGCTGGCTCCCATTCCTCAGGAAGGGAAATGATGGTGTGGAGGCTGCAGGGGAGACCGAAGGCCCAGCGCCTGCTGTGAAACCTCACATCTGGCTTTGGGGAAAAG